GTATGGCAGGGGTGGGCAAAAGGGTCTCCGTGGGCTGGATCCAGCTGGCCAAGCAGGTTGATCTGGCCTGCGGAAGCCCTACTGCTCCCCCACCCCCAGACTAATTAGAGCCTAGGGGCAGGGGAATGTGCAAAACTTCCTCCTGCCCTGGCAGGACCATGCAGCACTCCGAAGCGCCATGTGCTCCTTGCAGGGCAGGAGGAGACATCATGTGCTCCCCCTCCCTCAAGCTCTGATTGGCCTGGGGGTAAGAGGAGCGCGTGAAGTTTCCTCCACCATGTTCCCCCCCCCCCCACCCTGTGAGGAGTGCGTGGCACTTCAAAGTGCTGTATGCTCACGCAGGGCGGGAGCAGGGTGAAAGAAGCTTTGTGCAGCTCCCCTGTCTCCAAGCCCTAACTGGGCACTTTGAAGTGATGCATGCTCCTGGTAGGGCAGGAGGAGGCTTTGTGTGCTCTCTTCTCCCAGACCAATCAAGGCCTGAGGGTGGGGAAGCTGCGAAGCTTCCTTCTCCCTGCCCTGGCCCTGTGAGGAGCATGCAGCTCTTCAAAGTGCCACGTGCTCCTCACAGGGCAGGAGGAGACTTTGCGCGCTCCCCCACCCCCAGGTCCTGATTGGTCTGGGAGTGGGGGAGCGTGCGAAGCCTCCTCTTGCCCTGCCAGCGACATGGGTGCCTCATGGGAAGGGGGGGGGGCGGCAAAGAGGCTCCCCCACTCGCAGACCAATCATGGTCTGTGGGTGGGGTACCCCAGATACATCCTGGCCCCACCCCTTCCCACTTATGCCCCTCCCTTTCGGGGGCAGCCCGAGGCCACTTCAAAAATTGGTGGGCAATAATTTTTGGCTCTGTAGACGGAGCCATGTAGTTTAGACACACCCTAAAAGACTATACAGGCAGTCCCCAGGTTACTTGGCTACCCCTAATACAGGTCTATATATAGACATGAGAGTCGCCTCTGTGGCTCCTGCATTGAAGGATGGGGAGATGTGGTAAAAAGCCTCTCATCCCTACCCATGTGCCAGCCATCACAGCTGAGCTGATGTACAGGGGAAACGAAACTGTGGTATGCTTACATATAGCACAGCTTATGCCCCCTGGAGCAAGGGTGAAGAAGGCTCCAGATTTTGATTGAGTTAATTTTATTTCTGGTCTGCTTCTGAAGCAACACAACTGTATATTGGTTCTTATTTAGGGCTTATGGTTGACTCTACAATCTAGTCCTCAGTGATTTTGCAGTACACCAGCCTGCAGGTGACAAAAGTGTGAACCACGGTGTCTAGTGATGCTTTTGTTTTCATGATCCCACATGTATGCGCGGAATCTTCAAAAGTGTTCAGCACTCACTGTCAAGGCTGTTTTCAGAAGTGCTTAGCTCCCGTTCAGTCACCTGATTAAGTGGTAAATTTTCAAGAGAGCTGAGCACATGGGGTACACTTAGTTCTGCCCCAGGCTGAACTAAGGTCTGGAGTGTCTGCCCCAGGCTGGTCCAGTGGAAGCTGCTAAATGCTAAGCACTTTGAGAATCTAGCCCTTATTTCTGTGTCTCAAGGGGAGCTTTTAAAAATCTCTCACCTGTTGTGGGTACTGAGTACTTTTGAAAATCTGTCCCTATTCCAAGGCGCGAACATAGATACCGCTAGATTCCATGAATGCTGTTTTTGAAGTAGCCATGGGGACTGCTAGAGAGCAACTGGAATACTCTTTCTGTTCTTCTGCCCTTTACTATGTCTTTCTGTTCTCTCAGCCCAAAGGCAGGATTAAAAGCAATGTTCATTTTTTTAAAAGTAATCTGGCAATGGTTCAATGGTATTAAAAATAAAAATGAGCATAAGGAATTTCCTTTAGTGCCAGGACATAGCAATTTTTAATGTTGGACAAATGTTGGTCCAAAATATTTGGTAGTTATATTTATTTGCAAAACCACTACTGCCATGGCGGTCATATTTTATGATTATTGCAGGTAATGTATATAGAATTCTATAGATGGAATCAACTTATATGCTTCCATTAAAATTAAAATTCAGCTGTCACCCATCAGTCTGTTTGGTACAATATGATTACATAGTATGCTAATGACATCAAGCAAAATAAAATTTGTACTTTTAAAATCTCTAACCACATGCAAGAGGCATATATATAATACATTAAAACAACTAAGGATTTTCCAAATACAGGCAGTCCCCGGGTTATGTACAAGATAGGGACTGTAGGTTTGTTCTTAAGTTGAATCTGTATGTAAGTCGGAACTGGCGTCCAGATTCAACCGCTGCTGAAACTGACCGCCAGTTCTGACTTACATACAGATTCAACTTAAGAACCCCAAGCTTCCCCAAGTCAGCTGCTGCTGAAACTGATCAGCGCTGATTCCAGGAAGCCTGGGGCAGAGCAACTCTGCCTCGGGCTTCCCGTTGTCA